AAAGAAATGTATAGAAGATCTGCAGCTAGAGAGGTTGTTTTTGGGGTGAATGGATGTGGTGATTAATATGATTTTTATGTCAATGAACATCAGAGGAGTGGGTGGGAATGGTAGGAGAAAAGGGGGAAGAGAATTAGTTGCTCGGGAGAAGGTCGAGTTCTTATCAATACAGGAATCAAAAGTGGAGGTGGTGGACTCTCAACTTCGTAGAGCTCTATGGGGATCGGACAATTTTGAATGGGTTGCTCAACCCTCAAAAGATATGGTTGGGGGGCTTAATATGTATTTGGAATCCTAATTTATTACAAAAATACAGAATTATCGAAGGTGATGATTTTATAGGGGTTTTTGGCCATTGGGGGGTCTCTAAGATTCCTGTGTATATCATAAATAAATATTCCCCTTGTGATCTACCTAGTAAAAGGGCATTATGAGCTTCTCTCAAAAACCTTATTATTGAAACTGGAGGGAATTGGTGCTTAATGGGGGACTTTAACGCAATGAGAAATGGGCAGGAATGGAGGGGTGGGATGAGTATTAGAAGAGAAATGCTAGAGTTTGATGATTTCATTAATGAATGTGGCCTAGTAGACTTATCATTAATTGGTAGAAAATTTACTTGGTATCATTCCAATGGAGCATCGATGAGCAGGCTAGACAGATTTTTGCTATCAAAAGGATGGTGTTGTAATTGGGAGAATGTTAAACAATGGGGATTGAACCATTCACTCTCTGATCATTGCCCAATAGTACTGAAAAATTATATCATTGATTGGGGTCCAAAACCATTCCAGTTTTTTGATGCATGGTTGGAATTCCCTGAATTTAAAGAAATGGTAGGCGACACCTGGAAGTCGACAGTAGTTAATGGATGGAATGGGTATTGCTTGAAGGAGAAATTGAAAGAAACAAAGAAGGTGTTGAAAGTTTGGAGTAAGAATAGGGTCTTGGAGATTGATGTGGGTATACAAAGAAGCATCGATTCTATTGTTGCCATTGATAAGAAAGGGGAAGTGCTGCCATTATCTCCTGAGGATATTGTGATTAGAAGGACTAACTTCCTGGATTTATGGAAAAATCAAAGGATTAAGGAAATCATGTGGCGTCAAAATGCTAGAAAGACTTGGATCAGTGAGGGGGATGCCAATTCAAAATTCTTTCATAATTGTGTGAAAGGGAGAAGAAGGAAGAATGATATAGTAAGTATCATGGCGGGCAATGAGCGATTAGAAGAGGTCAACAAAATGAAAAAAGGTGTAGCTAACCACTTTGAGGCCTTGTTTAAAGAAGAAGCTTGGCAGCGCCCAGTCCTAGATGGGATTGAATTTAAGAAGATATCAGAAGAGGAGAGGGCAATGTTGGAGGTACCATTCAATGAGGAAGAGGTTAAGCAAGCCGTGTGGAATTGTGAGAGTGCAAAGGCGCCAGGCCCTAATGGATTCAATTTCAAATTTATTAAGGAAATGTGGGAGGTACTTAAGGATGACACAATGGGATTTGTAACCGACTTTCACAAGCATGGTAAACTGGTTAGAGGGATAAACAACTCCTTCATAGTACTAGTTCCTAAATTTAGCAACCCACAAAAAATTGAAGAATTCAAACCAATCTCTCTGGTTGGAGTCATGTACAAGGTTATTGCAAAATTGCTAGCATGCAGGCTGTCTTCTGTTCTAAAAGGGATTATCAGAGAGAATTAAATGGCTTTTGTTAGGGGAAAACAACTAGCTGACAGTGTGGTTATTGCAAATGAGACTACTGATGATGCTTAGAAAAGAAAAAAGGCAAGGTTTGTGTTTAAAATCGACTTTGAAAAGGCTTATGATAAGGTCTACTGGGAGTTTTTGGATTATATGATGTTGAGATTGGGTTTGGCAAAAAATGGAAAGGATGGATCAATGAGTGTCTAAAAACAGCTGACATCTTTGTGTTACTTAATGGCAGCACCACCAGACAATTTAAGATGAACAGAAGACTTAGACAAGGTGATCCTCTTTCCCCCTTCTTATTTTTTGATTGTTGCTGAGGGTCTGAATGACATTATCTCATCAGCTGTGTCACTTAGACTATTTGAGGGGATTGAAATTGGCCAGCGTGATATGAAGATCTCCCATTTATAGTTTGCCGACGACACGATTGTGTTTGGTAAAGCTTCAAGAAAAAATATTTGGGCTGCTAAATGTATTATGAGGGTCTTTGAGTTGACTTCAGGGTTGAAGATAAACTTTGGAAAAAGCTTGCTCATGGGGATTAATGTTTCAGAAGAGTGGATGAATAGGATGTATATTATTTTGAACTGTAAACAGGGAAACCAACCTTGCAAATACTTGGGTGTGCCAATTGGGGGTAAATGCAGAAGTTTTACCATGTGGAGACCTATTATTGACTCTTTTAAGAAGAAACTTGCCAGTTGGAAAAATAGATTCATCTCTCTTGGTGGAAGGATCATGCTTCTAAACTTTGTGCTGTCTAGCCTCTTAGTGTTCACCATTTCTGTACACCTGCTGCCAAAAGGTTTGATTCTTTTACTTGATAAAATATGTAGAAGCTTTCTTTGGGGGGGTGGAGAAAATAGTAGAAAGATTAATTGGGTTTGTTGGGAGAAGGTGTGCAGAAGTAAAATGGATGGTGGGCTTGGTGTCAAAGACCTTAGGAGGTTTAATATAGCGTTGTTAGGTAAGTGGTGGAGTAGGTTGGTCGAGGGAGAGGAGTGTCTTCTTTATAGGGTAATACAAGAGAAATATGGGAGTAAAGGAGGCAATTGGCTGAATTGGATTAAGGAAGAAAATTAGAGGGGGTCCTTATGGTGGAGGGATGTCTGTCGGCTAGATTATATACAACCTAGTAGAGCTCGTTGGCTTTCAGACAGTTTTAAACTAAAATTAGGAGAGGGTGAATCGATCAAGTTTTGGGAGGATACTTGGATTGGGGATAGACCCCTAGCTAACAAATTCCCAAGATTATTTTTGAATTCCTTAGGCAAAACCAAGAGCATTTCTCAAATGGGACACTGGAATAATGGAAGCTAGACCTAGACATTAAAATGGAGGAGACCTAACTTCTCTTGGGAGGAAAATTCAATGTCGGAGCTGTGGAGGCTACTGTAGACTACCGAACTAGTTAAGGGACACAAAGACTGTTGGGAGTGGAGGCACGATCAAGATACTTATTCAGCCAAATCTGGACATTGGCAATGTTTCTACAAAATCATTGACTTTACCAAACACTTTCTTGGTTCCAAAATTCAGTTATAATCTTCTATCTATTAGTCAATTACGTGATTTTGGCCTTGAAATAATATTTTTTGCCCATGGTTGTTTTGTGCAGAACCCATAGAAAGGACAACTTCTTGCAACTAGTCATAAGGTAGGGTGTATGTTTGAGCTCAATTATCTACATCTTCCACATCATCAAATGGATACACCATCATTCCCAAACAATTGTTTCATTTGAACCATGCTTTGTGCTATTGAGTTAGAGGTTTTGCAAATTCTATATCAACAAATCTTCCCAGCCTATACTGCTACAACAATTTCTCCTCTCTATTTGTGGCACTCATAGCTTAGACATGCCTCAATAAATAAACTATCTTCTTATCTCTCATGGTTTAGTAGGATCTATTCAGAATGAATCATTACATTGTGTGTCATGTCAATCTGCAAAACAACCAGCTTTATCATTTTCGAGTAGTCATCCTCTTTTTGGTGCTCTTTTTAATCTCATGCATTCTGATGTTTGGGTCCATTTTCCACACTCACCATACATAGTTCCAAGTACCTTGTGTTCTTTATTAATGATCATACTCATTTTACTTGGATTTATCTAATATCAAACCACTTTGAATTACCACAACTCTACATTGATTTTGTAACCATGTTCAAAACCTAGATCTCATAAATTATTAAAGTTTTGAGAACAAACAACACTACTAAATATCTTGGTACTAAACTTCAATATTTTCTTATTGAATAGGGTACACTGACACAACAATCTTGTCCCAGACACTACAAACCGAATGCAAACATAGACACATCCTTAATTTTGTTCGTGCCCTGCTCTTTTTGTCTTTTTGTCTTTTTGTCTAGAGCGATTTTGAGGTGAAGTTGCTTTTACAACTATTTATCTCATTAATCGAATTCCATAATCAGTCATCAATAACCAATCTGCATATGAGCATTTTGCATAGTATTCTTCCTACCTATGATCTTCTTAAGGTTTTTTATTGTGCTTGTTTTGTTCTTCTTTCACCTCATGAACATAACGAATAAGAGCCTAGATCTTGATTTTTTTTTTTTTTTGAGTTATTGGATTACAAATAAATGATATCATTGTTGTGAACAAGCGTCACAAAAACTTTGAGTTTCATGTCATGTTGTCTTCTAGGAACACACTATGTTCTCATCGTTGTCAAACTTCAAAGTTTCATCATTTGATTAATCTCCACTTTTTACTAATCTTTCTGTGAGTTATTTCCTAGTGATTCTAATGTAGGTACATCTTATGAGCATTACAATGCCTCGCATCATGCTCTAACTAGTTCAATAGAAGATGGCTTGCTCATTGGTAATGCATTAGATAATTCTAAGACTCCTTCTAGTCTCTCTTCTATATCACCTGTTTATGTCGCATCTAACATTGTTGAGTCTAAAAATGAGCTTGTTATCCCACTCTCGAGTCATCCTACTTGGGTCAAGAATCCTCCCAATTAACTTTATGCTTAGCATTGTTTTCCTACTATTATTTCTTTACATGAGTCTTAATCCTATTAAGAGGCCTCCTCTAACCTTTTTTTGACAGAAAGCTATCCAAGATGAATTATAGGCTCTTAAGAACATTTGTACATGAGATTTAGTGGATCTCCCAGTTGAAGAATCTCTAATAAGCTATAAATGGTTGTACAAGAAGGCATGATTGGTTACTAAGGGTTTTACACAAGAGTATGGAATAGACTATAAGGAAACATTTGCTCCAATTACTCATCTCACATTTGTGCATAGTTTGCTTGCTATTACTGCTATACAAAGATGAAAATTATTTTAGATGGATATGAAAAATGTTTTTCTTAATGGTGACCTTAAAGAAGAAGTTTATATGAAACCACCTCTTAAACTTAATCATCCTCCAAACAAGGAATGTCGATTGAGACATGCATTATACGGTTTGAAGCAATCCCCTTAGACCTGGTATGGAAAGTTCAGTGCTACTGTAAGTGAGTTCGATTTTACTTTTAGTCTATAAGATACAAGCTTTATTCATTTGTAAAACTACTCAAGGTATGGTTCTTTTACTTCTTCATGTTGATGGCACGATTATGATT